TTCAGAGAGCAAGGTCCTCAGCCCTTTGCAGTCCTGGTAGAGTATGCTCCCCTCCACTGGAGAGGCTGCTGGGCCCCATGGAGGTGATGCATGGGGATCGAGAGGCAGAAAGGCCAGGGGACAGCCTGTGGTGAAAAAGCAGGGGGGTTCCCATCCTGCTGGTGGAGTATGTAACATTTGTCCCACTTTGCTTCTCAGCCAGACTGTCAAGAAGAGGAGACTCAACCCAGCCTTGATCTCAACTGCCCACGTGGAGGTGATGGGGGGTTCCCAGCACATGGAGCCCTGGGGGTGGTGGGAGCACGGGATAACACCCCATGGCTGAGTGCTGCTTGTCCCAGAGACCTGGATCCCTGGCCAAGGGGCCAGACCTGGAGTGCAGCTGCCTGGGGGAGTGGACAAGAGGAAAAGGAGAGGGTGAGCAATGCTTCTTCCCCAGAGGGAAGGGGGAAAAAAAAACCTTGCGCCACTATGGGCACTAAAAAGTTGTGGCATTATGGGGAGAGAAGGCCCCCACTGCTGCCATCCTGTGCCGTCCACATGCCAGCTGCAGATTTGACCCCATGTGTGCATTTCCCCCATGGCACAATCAACCCATTTTTTTGCATGGAAAGTTAAATCCATGGGGGCACTTAGGTCCCATACAGGGACAGATCAGTTAAAGGAAAAAGGACTCTGACTCAATCCAGAGGTTGATAGAAATGGCTGGAGGACTTGCTGGATCACTGGAAAGTTTTCAGCTCCTTCTCCCCTCCTGGATGCCAGCTGGGGAACCTGTGCACCTGCTGCAGGAAGATAACAGGGCTGCTCACAAACATGTGTGGCCAGGGGGAGAGGGGGATTTCACTCAGATTAGAAGGCTCTGCTCCAGTTGCACTTGGGAGGGATACATGGGGACCAGTAACAGAGAGATCAGACCAAGGACCATCTCTGCTTGCTGCACAAAGGGTGTTTGGGCAGAGGAGGGGTGTGTTTGCACGCACATCACAGATCGGCAGTTGCTAGCTGATAGGATAACTCTCCTGAAGTGAATGGCTCTATGCTAATTGAAGATCTAGCCCAACACATTGACAGGTGTGTAGCCATAAGGCAAACTTTTCTTGTATGGCAATGCAAAGGAAGCCCACTGCCCTTACAAATAAAGCTCCCTTTTTGGATGAGTCGAGCTGGTAGCTGGTAGGTGGTAGCTGGTTTTTCTTTGACTGTCATAACAATTGAGGCTGGATCTCCTGTTCTGATGGGCCCAAATAACTCATGTGGCTTGAAAGTGGTGCAGACCCCGTGCTGAGCCTGGGGGCTGGGATGGGAAAAAGGTGTTTCAGTCCCTTGTGCCTTAAAAGTCTTGCTCCAAAACCCACTGGAGCTGACAGCCAAATGCAATCAACTCTAGCTGGGCAGAATGAGGGTTGGGGCAGGAGAAAGGAGGAAAGTACCCCTTTTATGCAGGCTGGGGGGACCTGGGACCCTGACCATCTCATCCAGCAGTGCAGTTCCCCAGCATGACTTGAATGGGGCTGGATTTTGCAGACAACAAGCAGAAACATCTGGGGAACTGAGTCAGTGCTCAGCAGGAGAGGCCGGTTCCCTTTTGTTTCATGCCTCTGCTGCATCTCAGACCCTGTACTTGTCGCAGAATGCAGCTTCCAGAAGCCACAGTGGAGGGGAAAATATTAGCGGTCACTTGTCACCGGCTGTCCATGTGTGTGGGGCTTGTGGTGTCATTTGACATGCTGAGGCAGGAGAAGATAGCATTGGCTCCGTCCTGTGCCTCTCACCAGAACAGGCCCCAAGGCCCCCTAGACAGGAGCACAGTCTCAGCCGGGAAGCAACCCGAGCCTGGGGCTGGTGTTAAACATGCTTAAGCCTAGTTGGAGGCAGTGGGGCAGCGTGTCACGATGCCGTGGGAAGAGGCAAGGCAGGTAGAACAGCCCCGCACTGGGACTGGGCTGGAGGAGAGCGGCTGCAGGACGAGGGGGGGAGTCCGTACCTGCCCCAGACTGCTCACCCATCCAGCACCGCCATCGCCACGCAAGGACCTAGTGAATTCAGAGCAGGGAGGGGAATGGATTTTCTGGGCAGGTCGGGGAGTCTCTGGCTTCCAAACTCATTTTGCAAATGCAAGGATAGACTCACAAAGGCACCAAGGAATAGAAAGGAGATGGCTGGGTGGAGGGTGGAGGTGATAATTCAGAAGAGGAACTTGTAGTCAGTTCAATACTGCAGAATGGCTGTATATATCAGAGTCGTCCCCCACCCTTTCCCAGAAAAGCAGAGGGGATGGAGAGGAATGCAAGGAGATCCGTGATAGCACCTGTTGAGTTTCCCTGGCTTGGACCACTGGATGAGCTGGCTGAGGAAACAAGGCAGTTTTCAATGACTGATTTGTTACAAGTTGGCCTCTTGTGCAGGGCAGAGGGATTGAGATCCATTAAATCTGTTGTGAAAGTCAGAGAGAGACTCCAAAGGTCAGTCCATGCTTTTTGGAGAATCAAATCATAGAATCATAGAAAACGAGGGCCCTGTGGTCCTGCCCCATCTTCCAGTATCTAAAAGTAGCGTTAGAAGACGTTCACCATTTCCCGAAGTGACCTGCCCTTTGAGCTGCTGCAAAGGTTTGGGCAAAAGAGAAATAATCCAAAGGCAAGAAAAGAGTCTTTGGTGCCGAAGTCCCTCACATCTAGTCCAAGCCCCTGCTCCAAGCAGGACCAGCCCCAACTACACCATCCCAGGCTTTGTTGGGTCTGGTCTTGAAAACCACCAAGGATGGAGCTTATAACACCTCTCTGGGTAACCTGCTCCAGTGCTTTACTACCCTCCTGGTGAGAAAATTTTTGCTAACACCTAACCTAAACTTTCCTTGCTGCCATGGCCCAAGCATGGTGGCAGGGAAGGGTATACTTTACCAGGGCCTGGAGATCCAGGGAGGGCCGCCACCCCCGGATCTTGGGGTCCTGGTAAATTGTACCCTTTCCCCACCATGCTTAGGCCCTGTCTGCCACCACTGAGAACAGTCCAGCTCCACCCTCTGACAGCTGCTATTAAATCCTCTCTCCATCTTCTCTTTCGTTGTCAAAAAAGGAACATTTTCTTTAACAACTTCTTGAGACACCGCAGCACGGCTTGTGACATCTAACTCATGCTGGACCCAAAGGGGAAGTGCCCCCCCCCACCATCTGCCTCTAGCAGTCTGCAAAACCCACATTTGTGCACGTCCGCACCAAAGACTCTTTTCTTGCCTTTGAATTATTTCTCTTTTGCCCAAAACTTTCCAGCAGCTCAAAGGGCAGGTAACTTCTACACTACTTTTAGATACCGGAAGATGGGGCAGGGCCAAGCAGAGAAGATGGCGATGGTGCTTGCTGTACTTCTGCTTTCTGTGTTGTCGTGCGGCAAGGGTAAGGCCACCCTCTTTTATCTCCTCTTGGAAAGGGGCTCTTCTGAGGTGCCTCTTCCCCCGTGGGGCCACCAGTGTGGCGGGGCATCGGGCTGGGCAGCGTGTAAGAAAAGCAGGCATTGGGATGGGCGGTATTTAAGAAGAGCAGACGTGTTTCTAGAGTAGACTTGTAGCTCTGATCTTGTGGTGGTAGACGGGGAAGACGACTCCTCGTTTAACCCCCTTGCAGCTCATTGCGAGGGGAAGAGTGTGCTCGTGCTGATGTCCCCTCCACCTCCTACTGCAGAAAGCATTAGCGGGGCTGAAAACCAAAGAGGAGACAAAACACCGGCAGGTTTTTCCTTCCACTTCTCTCCACTGTCCTTTCTCCCATCAAAATGTGACGGTCTACTATAATCTTTTCCTGAGATTTTTGGCCCAGGGAGACTGCCTGTCCTGCCCTTAAGAAGAAGCTTTTATCACACCTTCCCCACAGGAAAACAGCAGACCTTTCTTTTTATCAAACACAAACACATTTTCTTCACCACGGAAATGAAAGACACGGGCCACGAAGAGACTTCCCAGAATTGAGATACCCGATTAACTCTGAAATGGCTCAGAGCATCTCTTTGGGGTCCTGGAGCCTGGCATGTATTTCTTCAATCTGTGTGCCCTTCATTCACTGCAGTACATTAAAATCAGGTCTGTGAATGAAAGAAAATGGTCCCGACTCTGAGAGCAGTCAGCAGGGTTAATATTTGAGATGAGAACCTGAAAAATCTCCTGAGAGTTTGCAGCGGACAGGAGAGCATTTGGAAGAGGGTGGATGGATGCGGTTAAGAGGATGAAGGGGATTAGACAGTTATGAATGGCTTCTTGTATAACCAAAAATGCTGGAGTTAGGGATGGAAGGGCATTGAGGGCAATGAAGGAAAAGAATAGAAAATCTGGCTGAATAGGGTGGACTTCTTAAGCAGTTGCTACGAAAGAAGTGACTAATGTTGAGTAATAATAAAAGTAATGATTTTTTAATCCAGTGTTTCACGGGGAATTAATTCTGTTTGGCTATGGAGCAGCTTAATGAACCGCAATCAAACCAAGCAAAGAAAAAAGGAGACAGAAACATTTAACTATTTGGGATTGTTTTATTTTTTGGTGAAAAAGAAAATGATCTCTTCTTTATTCCTTCCCCCATCACTAGCAGCAGCCCTCAGGCTTTATATAGCAGGGATATACAGGGCCTGGAAAGTGCTGTGCCCCTTGATTCAGGCTGACTTGTAGTTTGGGAAACTTCCGATAAGTTCTTGATTGTACAACACATTGCTGCCTTCCTGTCATACAACCGCCTGACACAATTTAAACTTTTGTGGTCACTGAAACTTAGTCACTTTTCAGCCTCAGACAAAGGCCTTTGAAGAATCCCACATTTCTTGGGGGATTTTTGCTCCGAACCCTGGCATGGCTGGGGGACTTGGGTAGTGTTTTGCTCTCCTTACCTTGATTCCACTGTTGTTGACTCTCAAGATTGTGTTGCTAGTCTTTCCCTTGCTCTAAAAGCCCCAGCTCCAGGAGTCTTGTGATTCTTGAGTGGAGCAGAGTTAAATCCCGATGGTGGTGGCTGTTGTATCTCCTGCTGTCCTGGCTGCTGCCATGATGATCCACACCCACAATGGATGGGAGACGGGTGTTGGCTCTGGAGCTTATCCTGTAGAGGGGAACAACAGCATGAGATGTGCCAAGCATGGCTCCTGCAAGGCACAGGTCTGGCTTGGCTGGGTGTAGACTTGGGTGGCTCCAATGCCCTGCTTGGATTTTAAACCCAGTTTATAGAAACCTCTGGCCAAGATGAGCATTGCCATTTCTGCCTCCTTTGTCCTGCCTTCATCTTCCTACCTGCTGTAGCTCCTCCCAGCTATCTCAGTGCATTTGAGAAGTGGGTGTATTTTTCAATGGTGTTGCCCTGTAACCCTAACTAACATGTGTCTTACTATCATGTGTCAGCACGAAACTGGTGTTATGAGATAAAGAAAGACTCCCTAATGCTAAAGACAAGTAGGCTGACCTCCTTGCATCACTGCCTAAAAGCATTTCCATTTCCCTTTTCTATCCTGATATAAACACAATGGTTTAGATATAGGAGACAAATGCATGGAGGGTGGGAAGGAAGATGGAGATAGATTCTTCTCTGTGGCTGCAGTGGGCAGGACAAGAAGGAACAACCTTAAACTTGTAGCAACAAGTGGAGTTTAGGTTGGATATTTAGGAAGAACTGTGTGTCTGAGGGTGGTTCAGCACTGGAGCGGGCTCTTCTAAGGCTGTGGAGTCTCCATCCCTGGAAGGTTTTAAGGTCAGCTTGGACAAAGCCTTGGAGTTGGTTTAGACAGGGCTGGTCCTGGGACTAGATGTGAGCCCCTGAGGTCCCTGCCAACCTGACTTCCCTATGACTTTAAAAGTGGGACACCTTGAAAGAGACCCCCACAAGTCACAGAGGCAGGTTCCCTGCCATCACAGCCAAACACATCATGCAGTCCGGGTGAGAAAGTGATTGAGCTCCAACCTAAAAACAATTTGGCTTCCTGGTCTCTCTGCTCCTATTTTGGCCCCTCTCTCTTCTGTTGGGTAGAAACAGTCCTCATATTTCAAGTAATTTTTTAAAAAGAAAAAAGAAAAATACCCCCCCCCCAAAAAAAAAACCAAAAAACAAAACAACCAACACCCTGAAACATGCCAGAGGGATAGAGAAGGGAGTCAACAGCATTTTAGCCCTTCATTAGCATAGTTACCAAGAGCTCTCTTCCCACTCCAGCTCCCTGGTGCAGCGCTGATCTTTGTGTGTGTGTCCACAGCTGAAGAGAAGACAAAGCTCGTGAATGGGATTGTTAATGGCACTGTGGACTTAGAACCAGGGAATTCCATCCTGGAGAGATATCAGCAAATCAAATGGTTTTACAACCACACCCAGCAGATCCTGAAGAAGCAGAAGGGCAAGTCGGCTCATTACAATAATAAGTATTTTCAGAACAAGACGAAATTGTTTGAGAACGGCACTCTGCGTATCACGAGGCTTCGGAAGGAAGACAGCAGCGAATACAAGATAATTGTGGAAGATGCAAAAGGCCAGGAGATCCCTATAATGATCCAGCTGAACATCTATGGTGAGTATAGACAGGGGTCTTTGTACCCCCAGCCAAGGGGAAACCTGAAAGCCTGTGCAGTGAAATCCCCCCTGGGCAGGAATAAGAAGGGCTGGGTCCCCAGCCACAGTCCAAGGACATTGCTGGAGAAATATTGCTTTGACCAGCTGAAAAGCTGGTGTTCAGATGCAAACAGGAGCACCCACGAAAAGCCAGGCAGGGACAGAAGTGGGCGGCAGAGGGGTCTCCAAGGAGTGCTTGAGGGTAGTGGGGAGGGAGGTGAGCTGCACCCCTCAGACCAGGGCAGTGCTGGGAGGGCAGGGAAGCAGGAGTCTGGTCAAGCAAAGAGGCCTTGAGTGAGCCTCAAGTGACTCCCAAGTCCCTGTCCAAAGCAGGCTAAGTAAGCCTGCTGGAGGACCCGAGCTTCGGAGCGGCCTTCCGGGAGTTCTGGTTGGCCTGGCGCGGGCAGCGGCAGTCTTTCCCCTCGGCTCGGGGATGGTGGGACGGGGGGAAGGTGCGCATCCGGCTCTTTTGCCGCAGCTACACCCGGGGGCACACCCGGGAGCGGGAGGCGGCCAGAGAGCGGCTGGAGCGGGAAGTGGTGGAGCTGGAGAGGCGCCTGGTCGCCGACCCGCAGGATCCGTCCCTCTGCGGAGAGTACAGGGAGAGGCGGGAGGAGCTGAGAGCCCTGGAGGACCACCGCGCCCGCGGTGCGTTCGTCCGCGCGCGAGTCCACCTCCTGCGGGAGATGGACCGCGGCTCCCGCTTCTTCTATGGCCTGGAGAAGCAGAGGGGGGCCAAAAAGCACATCACCTGCCTGTTGGCGGCTGATGGCACCCCCCCTCTCGGCCCCGGGAGAGCTGCGAGTTCACGCGAGGGCCTTCTACGGAAGGCTCTTTTCCCGGGAGCCGACCGAGGCGGCAGGCC